TGTTCCTGGAGACCTCTGCCCTGGACTCCACCAATGTTGAGCTAGCATTTCAGACTGTCCTCAAAGGTGAGAGCCTGCCCACATTATACTCCATTTCAGGTGGGATAACCTGTCCTAGCTCTCAGCCCACCATAGGCGTTCAGCCTCCTCAGAGCCACTGGTCCTACCACTCACCCTAGAGCTTAGGGAAGGAACCAGAAGGCCTCATTTTTTGGTGTGGGGGGGGGGGCTGAGTCTGGGTTCAGCCTTCCCAGGAAGGTAGACAAGACCCAGGTGTCAAAATTACTTCCTTCCAGCAAAACCTCTTTCCAGGGTAGCCACCTGTGCTCAGAAATGACATGGTTAGGGGGTGGGACATTAAACTTCTGCCTGATTATTGCTCTTTATCCTTAGAGATCTTTGCAAAGGTGTCCAAGCAAAGGCAGACTAGCACCCGGGCCAATGCCATCACCCTGGGCAATGCCGAAGCCGGACAGGATCCCGGCCTTGGGGAGAAGAAGGCTTGCTGCATCAACCTCTGACTTCAGCCATGGCCAACCCTGTGTCCCTGTCTTCAGCCTTCGGGTGCCCCCCCCCCACACACACACATTGCAGGACTTCTCTCCACTCTTGAGTCCCTGTTCACAAGCACCCGGGGCACCATGCCCTACCACATGTCTCCATCATCTGTCCACTCCCCTCACAGACTAGAGCCCTCAAATAAAGCTGTTTTGTATCATGCTCTGGCCATCCTGCTGCCTTCCATCTGTCCCTTGTCATATTGTCTGTGCTGCCCTTCCAACTTTGACTCCTCCTGAGTTGATTCCTTTCTCCATCCCTTTCTGTCATCTCCACCATATTCACTGCCCCTCAGGGCCTGCTTTTGGAACTCTGTGGTCTGGGGACAGTGCCAAGGGGGCAGAAATTGCCTACCCTTCCCTCTGCCAGCTCCTAGGGCAGGTGGGGGATGGAAGATTGTGTGGAGGGGAGGGATATGTGGAAAGCAAAACAAAAGAAGCCATCCTCCAGCACCATCTGGTACCCAAAACTCTAGTGCCAAGAACTGAGGTCACTCTAATGCCAGGGGCAAGAGGAGGTGACTGGGAAGATTCAGGGAGCTCAGCCAGCCAGTACATGTACTCAGGAGTTCCTAAGACTGGAGGGCGCACCCCCTCCAGTCCTTTCCCTATCCCTCAGCAGGGAAGAACTGAGGTTGGTAGAGTAGGGGGAAGATTTTGTCTCTCAACATCTTTTCCAGGGAGCCAAGAAATGGCCATCCAAGCAAGGGATGACAGGGAACCCTGGAGATACCCACTTTCCACACCAGAGTACTACCACCCCCATTGCAATTGCTACCCCAAGGTGCAACGGTCACACAGTGAAAGACAGAGCCTTACGTAATAATACTTTTAATAAAATTAACTTCTCAATAGCACATTTAATACATTAGCCCTCCCCCTTCTTGGTTTCTCTGCGTTGTGTGCAACATCACTCTGACTTGATTAATCATGGGTTTCTTTTATTTCCCACCTTTATTTTGCATTTGAAAATCTTCCTTGGTGATTTGTACGAGTCACTAGATGCCTCAAATTAAGTCTGACCACGATCCTATTCTACTTTCTACAGTGGAGAGACCATCTTCCCTACCCCAAGGTTGTCTCCACCCACCCACTTGACCCCTCGAGCATTCACCCTCAGACAGGCAAGGGGAAATTCTCCCTTCTCCCAGATGCTACCAACTCAAACTATTGAGGGTCCTAGGGCAGAAAAGGGCAGGGGGACCTCTAGTTCCTAGATGGGGTGAGAAGAGCAAATTGGGGAGAGGGAGATGTTGGGCTCTAGGGTCATGAAGTGGCATGTCAATCACTTAAACTAAAGCCAAGAGGCCTCTCCCCATCCTGATGTGATTGCCAGTGGAGGCTGATGGAAATCAAGTGCTTAAAAATGCATATTTCTCACATGCAAAAGCCAGGCTTCCAGTTTTCTTAGGGGAAGGTGAAGTGGCCATGTGGGTGATCCCTATATGAACAGAGGGCGACTAGGACTGCAATGGGGTCACCAAAACTCCCTGTATTCTTTTACCTCTGTATTTTGTGGGGTACGTTCTCCCAGGCCAATATTTGCACTCTACTTCCCAAGTAGAAAGTATTTCTTGGGATGTAATTTTCTCTGGGACCCCACAAAGCCAAGTGTGGTGGTGCACGCCTTGTAGTCTCAGCAATTGGAGGCAGCAAGAAGATGGCTGCTTGTTTAAGGCCAGACTGAGCTAGAGACCCTGTGTCAAAAGTAAAAACAAAAACCCACTACACATGTGAAGGAAAGCAGCACTAGATTGCATTGCCACACCCCTGCCGCATGGGCACTGGACAATCTGAGCTGACAAGCACTGGCATGTTCATTGTTGAACCAACCTGTAGCAAGATAGACTGAGGTGACTTCAAGGACTTCCTCAGTGTGGCCTGGGAGAAGCTGCCTTAGGTGGGGGTTGGGCATTAGGAGTAGGGGCTTCCTAACAGATGGCTAGGCTCTGGGCCCAGTCTCACCTGGCTTAAGATGACCAGTGTGTACCCTGGCAAAGACCCTGGGACAGAGCCCCTCGTGTACTTGTCCCGCACATAAACCTAAGGATTCTCAGAATCAACCCCAGCAGACTGGAAGCTCCCAATCTTAGCTGACAGACTGCTCCGGCCCTGTCGCCAGGGGTAGGGCAGCTCAGCCACTGGCCTCTATTCTTTCTTTCCATACTTTTATACATTCTACTGGGCTCAGGGGCCCACAATGCTACTAAACTTTAAGCTATCTGAGTATCATCTACTAAGTAACTAGTAATTCTTTTTTTCTTTCTCTAGGATTATATGAAATAAATTTGAATTATTTTGTAGTATTCTCTTTTTTTAAACCCCTCGGTTTTTCTTTCTCTTCTCTCTCTCTCTCTTTTTTTTTTTTTTTTTGGTTAAAAAAAAATCTATTTCTCTTAAATCTCACACTTCTGAGGGTTTCCATAGGCCCGCTAGGCCTCAGTTCTGGCTTTCCCCTCCTTACTTGCCCCTGGCACAGGGTAGGGGAAGGAGGGGACACCCCAGGACCCTCAGTCCTTAGTCCCAAAGCTTCTTCCTTTCTGGTTAATCCCTTCCTTTGTTTGGCTCTGCCGGCTCCCCTGAGGGGGAGGGGGAGGGGAGCCCAGGGAATGAAATTCAATCTACTGGTGGGGCCCCAGAAGGGACCAACTCCCCCTTCCCTTCTCCACCATCCACCCCAGGATGCTCCCCCAAGAAAAGCAAATGACATTTCTCCCCAAAAAAAAGTGGGGGGAAAAAAAAGAACATAAACCCGAACATATATTAAAAACTTTTTTAAGATTTAACTCTGAATACAAATGTATTTTTTCTTCTCTCCCTACATATATTCTAAACCTTCTAAAGTTTTTTTTTTAAGGATCACTTTATCATAAAATAAAATATCCTTTTCATATAATAAATTACCTAATAAAAAGTCTTTTTTTCATATTAGCCCAGGTTCTTTGCTACATTTATACGGTAATAAATGCCTTTATTAAAATAGAATATTAAATTATAAAGAACTGCTTTTTTCTTTTTTGCTATTTTTGTTTCCTCTCCTCTGTTGGTCTCACTCCCTCATTGCTTTCTCTTTTGTAGCTCACGTTTGCGTTTTGCGCTTGTTTCTAGGAAAGGCTCATTCAGCAAGGGTGGGATTGGATCTGTGGAGCCCCTAGTGTAACAGTCTTTTGCCTTTGTGGGTAAGGAGTGGAGAGGGGGAGGGGATTGACAGACAGACACCCCTTCTTCCCACCCCCTCCCGTCCCCTGCCCCTGGGCAACCCAGGGTGCCCATTTGTTTTGGTTTCTATTGTACAGACATCTCAAGATGGCTCACATTGGTGGAAAGGAGGGAAGCTGCCACAGGCCAGTTTTCTGGGCTGTGACTTCCTTCCTCTCCTCTCCCAGGCTGGTGGTCTGGAGGGGAAGGCTAAGGAGAGGCAAGTTAATTCACAACAGGCCAAGGAGAGAGGGGACCTCCCTCTGTGCCCTGGTCCCACATCCTTTCTCCATCCAGGAAGAATGGGACTTCTGAGCTAGAAGAGCTCAAAGTAATCCCACCCAACTATATACAAGCATCTCCCGGGCCTCCCCACCACCCAAGCTCTCTTGGCCCGGCCAGCGGAACCAAGAGGGTAGGAGGCTGCTGACAGACACAAGGGAGCGATGGGAGCAGCAAAGTGGTGCCAGGCCTATCACAGCACCTGATTCTGGCAATAGGCACACCGCACCGCAATCCTGCTCTGCCCCGGCTTGACCCCTCACCAAAGATTTGGCCTCTCAACAGCCAGTGGGTAAGACAGAGACTTCATGATTTGTGGCTAATAAGGATTCAATAATGGTTCAGCTAGGTGCAGAGAGGTCAGGGGGTAGGCCACTGCAGGTGAGGGGGAGGGAGCCCTTCCAGCCACATCTCTTCTGCCCCAGGACTTTTCCTATTTTCTCTTCCCTTGGCCATAAAATCCAGGAGAAGTGCGCCCTAAGTATAATGCCCACAGATGATAAAGGTGGGGTTTTAACCCTTCACATACCCCATTATTAGTTTCCCCTCTTGAATTGTCACTGAGTCTACATTCCATCAAGAATGAGAGCTGATTCTTTGGAGGAGTGGGGGATAGGGTTGCCCAGTACATGAAGAGGAACCGGGGGCACTATCATGTGCTCCAGACTTTCTCCCCAGGAGGATGGTATCTCCAAAGCTGGGCTAGAAGGGGCAGGAAGGGGGTAAAGGAAGAAATCGGAGCAAGAGGGAAGGGGGACAGGGGACTGAAGAAACAGGAAAAAAAAAAAAAAAAAAAAAAAAAAAAAAAAGCAAAGGGCAACCCAGAAATTGGGAAAAAGCCAAGCAAAACGCTGGAGGGAAAGAGAAGCCCCTCTTTCTGAATCTCTAGCCCAGTTTTGTAAGACAGGTGAGTTGTGAGCCCTTTATTAATTGACATCCTCCTCCACCCCAGAATATCTGCCTAGATAGGCTCCCACCTTCCTATACTGTTGGGAACTCAGGATGAGTGGGGAGGTGGGAGGTCAGGACCAGAGGGGCTGGGGATCACTAGAGCACCTCTAGTTACAAATGGCAATTCTCCCCCTCCTGTGTTACTTACCCCTCCCCAGAGGAAGGAGCAAAATGACATAAGGATGGGGAGAAGGGAAAGATCAGAATGTCCTGGTTGCGGCTTCAGGCTAAACAAAAGCTTCTCTTAGCTGCTTCCAGATTTAAGGGTGTGTTGAGGTATCAGAGTTGTAACTCTAGTAAAACTTACGGTCTGGCCCCCTCCCAAAGGGTAACCAGAGGTTTTGAAAGTGGCTGCCCCCCCAGCCACTCATGCCTCCCTTCCCCACCCCAGCGAGTGAATATTTCTAAACACCTTGCCCTATAGTCACTGATTTTTCTAAAAGTCCAGGGTAGCACCCTGGGCAGCGGGCCCAGGAGACCAGGGACAGGGAGCTTAGGAAAATATTCGGATGGCTTGCGTGGCGGTGATGTGGCAGACAGGACACTCTGGGTCCGTCCTCTCGCAGATGCGTACTGCACACTCCATGCAGAAAAGGTTGTGTCCACAGGGCACCAGGGCTGCTGTCACTTCGCTCTCAAAGCACACCATGCAGTCCCGTCCGCTGCCAGGGCTCCGCAGCCCTCCGGCCCCCAGTTTAGAGAAGCCTTGCAGTGGCTCTCCAGGTGGCCGCCGAGGGAGCCCGGCCAGCTGCTCCTGCCCGGCAGAGGTGGCTGGAGAGCGGTGTGAGCCAGGCGGCCCTGCGCGTGCCTTGGCTGAAGAGGAGGAGGAGGCAGAAAAGAGCACCGAGGTGGGCGTGGCGTTCTCTTGGCCCGCCCACAGCGGGGGGCTTGTCTCCGCCACGCCATAGTACACGTCCTGCTTGCCCACGCCATAGCCCGGAAACAAATACCCGCCGTAGCCGAAGTCCCCGCCCTGCTCGCCTAGGCGCGGGGCCTCGAAGGCCGAGTCCACGCCGCACTCGCCAATGCAGCCCAGGCTGTTCTGCCGGAAGGTGGAAAGCGGCTTGCAGCCCGGAGCATGCACCCGCCAGGCATCTGAGTAGCGGCTGTCCAGTGCAGCGTCGGGGCTGCCAGCCAGGAAGTCGCCATCGCTGTTATATTCGAGGATCTTGCCTGTGCGCACTGCGATGTGCGTCTCGATCTCTTCCCTCGCACGTTCCACGTTGCCCGGGGCGCCGGTGATCTCAAACACCGGGTCGCGGTCCCGGCTGGGAGTGATGATGTATGTGTTGGTTTGCTGCTGGATGCGTTTGATAGTCGCTCCCTTGGGGCCCACCACCAGTCCCACTACACGGTAGGGCACTCGTACACGAATGGTCACCTGGCCTGGCAGAGCTGGGGCCACACCAAAGGCGGCGCCAGACTTGTTGCGTGAGGCTCTTATCATAGAGAAATGCTCAGCTGCTGAGATGATTTCCCGCCGAGCTGTGGCCACATCTTCCCGCCTCCCGGTCACCATGAACACCGGCTCTTCACCTCGCACAGGTGTCTTGATGTAGGTGTTGGTCTTGGCTCTCAGAGCCTTAATCTTGCAGCCTGAACAGAGTGGGGGGAAAAATCCACAGGACAATGAAGTTTGTACTGGGATCGTCTCCAGAATCCTAGTCTCCCAGGAACCCTTCCAGACACACCCTCATAACCACACAGACAGCCCACCCCACTTGACCAAACGATCCCTGCACGAGTTTCTCGGGGCCTTCCAAATACACTCTTCCAATACCATCTCCTTCAGAACCTTTCAGAAAAGCAGCTAACCCAAAACCTGCTCACAAACTATTCCCTAAGTATCCACTCTCCCGTTCCCTGCATCTCCCCAACCTCTCGGTCATCTCTCCTAATCTTTGCTCAAAACTCCAATGAACTCATTAACCCAGTCTACTCATGTGACCTCCATTCATTAAAAGAGTCTGTGCTCTAGCTCACCCAGGGACACTGATCACCTCGTGCTGTGACCTCCCCATGCCATCTGCCCCACAATCTCTGTGATTCTCTACACCATAGAGTTTGCAGCACCTGACTCAGTGTGGGACTTGAGGGAGAGGAGAGAACGGGGGTGGAGAGGTCAAAGAGTCAGAATTTCAAGGATGAGAAAAATAAAAGCCAGTATCACACCAAGACCTGTACTCTTGTACTCTCTGCCTCTGAGGGCAGGGCTGAGCTGTACTGGAGGCTGAGAAGACAGGAATTGGGCATTTCTGGACCCATGCTCGGGCTTTGAAGGAGTATCAGGTTAGAGCTGGGAAGAGACAGGAAGAGAGAGACAAAGAGAAAAGGAGGAGAAAGTAGGAAGGCTGGCTACCTGTTGGGAAAGGCAGTAGACCTCAATGGCTGGCTGGACCTGCCTGCCTTCACACAGCCTCAGAGCCTTTCATCCAAGCAGTCTGGTGTGCTGAGCAGAATACCCGTTGTACACGGGCCTTCTCCTATCTCAGTCTTCCTCAGCACAGACTATAGATGAATACACACCCACTCTCACAAACTCCCTCGGCTCCCCAGGTACATCATCTTCCCAACACACTATTAACCCAAAGCCAAGTGCCCCAACCCTCAACTGCAGGCTCCTGTGTAAGCTTGTTTTTCCTTTCTCCTCCAAACAGTATCTTTTCTAACCATAATGGACTGGTTACATGCTTTTAAAATATATTAGGAAGGAAAATTTGACTCCTCCCCTTCTTTTCAGACCTGCTAGCAGTTAAGAAGTCCTACTTGTTGTCAAGCCCACATTCCTGCTGCTTTAATGGTAGTAGATCTGTTCAATTTGTGAGGCTTGGAGGACCAAAGCACAGACTGTCCTGCCACCTCTACTTATATGCCATCTAATGGGCACCTAGGCTCTGGCTCTTAAGTTTTGGATCTAAAAACTTCAGTGGGAGCTAGGTATCTTTGAGGGTTGGAGAATTTGGGAGGTCAAGCCCTGGTAGAAGACTAAGTAGAAAAGCCAGAGGCCGGGCAGTATAGAAACTAGCACCTCATCCTCTTGGGTTCTGCAACCCTGAAGCATCTCTAGAAGGGGAGGCCAGAGTCAGAGAAGCACTCAAATTGAAGCAGCAGGGGAAGGTGAGAAAGGAAAGGAGTCCCATGTACTTACAGGATGGGGGAAGGGAGGACATATGTTCTCTGAATAGAATAAATTCTACTTTTATGATGGATAGACACATTTGCTAAGGAAGCAGAAGCGTAAAGGACCCCATTAAATGCTAGTGCCTTCCAAGACCTCACCCAAGTAGAGATATTAATATCCCCACCCAATTCCAGGCTCTGGATCTCCAGTGTCCCTGACAAGGGGGGGAAATCCAACTTTCTAAAGCAGGCACCCCAAGAGATTGAGAGAGGGCGCTGCTCAGGGGAGTGGCAAGCTCCCCTCCTCCACTCAGCTCTCTATTCCAAATTCTCCAGCCCCAATACCAGGGTGGATGAAGTAGGGGCCCCTGCTCGCCTCCCCTCCACCGCCAGGAACTGGCCTCCTCCTCTACTCCCGCGGAATGCAGACCCTCCATTGTTCCCCACTGTGGGACAGCTCCTCCCCCACTCCACCTCTCAGCCCTGCCCCTTTGCAATATCCAAATCCCGCCCCCAGAAGCTGGGAGGGGAAGGGTCCCCAAGATCCAGGCTGCTCAATTTGGGTACTTACCAACACTCCCACCCATCCAGGGATGCTGGGCTGAGGAGGGTGTGGTAACATACTCCATTGGCTTAATCCAACACCCCTCCCAGAACATCCAGACAAGCACCCACCACCAAAATTTCCAAGTGGAGATTTCTCTGTCCCTTCACCGACATGCCTTCCTGCCCTGTCCCACGCGTTCACTCAGAGACTCCTCTTCAGACCCCTGGCTCCAGGCCGTGGCCAGCCCAGAACAAAAGCAAGACGGAGAAGGAGAGGCCCACGCCAAGGCTGGTGCCTCCTCAGAGACACCCTCCGCAAACACAAGGGCCCACACAAGTGCCTGCAGGCGACCACAGGACCCCTCTCTGCCAAGGGCTCCTTCATCACCTCTCCCTAGACTGGGACCCTCCCCTGGGCCACACCCCCTTTCATTCCTACACTCAGCCCAACAAAGAGACAGACCTTCAGTCCGGCTTCAGAGACCGGGTCTCCCTCAGAGTCCCCAACTCCAACCGCAGAAGGTCCCAGGAGTGCCCCCTCCCCAGTCTACAAGCAGATACCAGAGTAGGCACTTCCAAGTAATTGTACATTCCGTCAGTCCTTCCAGCCCGGAGCCGACACCCCCTCCGCACAGACCCCGGGATTGGGAGGCAGCTCCCCCTCCCCTTCCTTCTCCCAGTTCCAGGATATTTCTTTGTCTACGGGCGGAGCCCCGGGGGAGGAAGGGTCCTGGGAGCAGTCCCGACTTGGGGTAACAGGGAACTTTGTGGCACTTGGAATCTGGGCAGGGGGCGGGGCCCCCTTTGTCGGGAAGGGACAGAGCCAGAGGCGGGCAAAGAAGGAAGCGGTGAACTTTCAGCACTGGGGACGGCAAGCCCCCACTCCAACCCTCGCGGCGTCCGGATGCCCGCTTACCTTGCCTACCCACGATCTCGGCCACGTGCTCGGAGGTGGGCACGGGAACGCACTCCGTGGTGTTGCTGCTGCCCTTCAGGCGCAGCTCGGCCTCTTTGTAGAGCGCGCAGAGCTTGGCGTCGTTCGCCCCTTTGGGGGCGGTGGGGGGCTGGGGCGTCTGCGCCGCGGGGGCCGCGCTCGGGGCGGCCGGGGCCGCCGCGGGCGGCGGCGGCGGGGCCGGCTGCGGGGGGGCGGCCGGCTGCGCGGGGGCGCCGCCCCCCCCACCTCCCCCGTCTTCGCCCGCCGTGGGGGCGGGGGGCTCCCCCAAACCCAGGAGGCAGAGTTGATCAAGAGCCAGCTGAAGGGCGCGCTCGTCTTCCAGCAGCCCTCGGTCCTTAGCGCTTCCCCCGAAACATCCTAGTTCTCCAAAGCCCCCATTTCTTTCCATTATTCCAGATACCACTAGACTAGGCATGGCGAAACAAAAGCTGGGGGAGAGAGAGAGGGAGAGAGAGGTGGTGGAAGGGAGAAGAGGAGAGAGGAGGGGAGGGGAGAGAGGAGGGGGTGTGTGGGGAGGGGGAACAAAGAGCTGGGGAGGGGGGAAGAAAGCGAGATAGAAAGATAGACCCACCCCTAAGCCCCCCTCCCCAAGCACCCTGTAACCTGACTCCCCTCGCCCCAGCCCCCGGGTGGGGGTGGGGGAAAAGAAGCAAAACCAAGAAAGCAGATCTCTTCTCGCTCGGGGTGACGGGGTGGGGTGGGGGGCTGCGGGCGCTGGCCCCCACCCCTCCGCCTCGGACCCGGAGTCTCTACCCTCCGCCGAGCAGACGCCCCCTTAGGCTCCCGCACCGAGCCCCAGTCCCGGAGCGTCGCTCAGTGGCCCCCAATAGAGCCCAGCCCCTTCCAGCGCTCAAACTCTTTTGTTTTAAATGAACTGGATGGAGCAGCATGGAACTGACGGGAGGGGGGCGCGCCGGGGGCGCCCGGGGCATGCCGGGAGTTGTAGTTTCCCGCCCTCGGGCGCGGGGACGAATTCGGGCAAGAAGGGGATGCGCCCCTCTGGCTCTGCCTACCGCTCGTGAGCAAAGCTCGGGTGGGCTGAAAGTCGAGGTCCAGGGATTTTTTTCAGGAGCCGGCGGTACGCGGGAAGGGAGCAGGCGTAGAACGATGTCGCTCCCCGGCCCCGCGGGTCCCGGACCTTTTTCTTATGGTAATGAGTGCCGGGGCGGAGCGGCCGCGTGGCTGCGGTGTCCTCCCTCCTCCCCGCGCGATCGCGGAGTCCACAGGCTCAGGCCTCCGGGAGAGCGCTCGCAGAGCAGACAAAGCCAGCGGCCGCTATGGTGGGAGGAGCAGGTCTCCGTGCTGCGTGGGGGCCGGGTAGGGGCGTTGAGGTGGGGGAAGCACTCCTGGTAGAGGATATGGTCCCCTCATCGCTTAAGTAAACCATCCCCTCCTCCAGCCCCCCAGTTTCGGGATCTCAGAGGCCGCGGATAGGAGGTGAGTTAGTTCGCGCCCCCGTGCAGTGACCGGGTGAGGAAGAGGAGGCGCGGACCGAGAGGATGGTGGTGCGGTGCTGAGCAGGGAGACCGGAAGGGTCCTAAAGACTTCGATGACTTAGCTTGGGGCCTTGAACTCTGGATGTAATAGGAGTGAGATTGGGAACTCAGATTTCCTTCAAACGGTGGTCATTTGTCCCTTAGGACTGTCATTCCGCTGTTTCACTCGCCTCTTTTATTAGCCAGCAATTCAGCCCTTTTGACCCTAGAAATATGTTGAGAGAGATCAGAAATAACTTTTTAAGACTTGACAGAATTGAGAGGGAGCTGGTTTGTACTGCAGTCTTCTTCGGCTCACTCTGGATCTTCAGCACTCCTTTTGTCGAAGGGATGGGACCGCGTCTGAGGTCTTGAGGTCAGACTCTAAGAGCCACCTTCCCAAAAGTGGGTTGCAGTAAGTGGGCATGCCTTTGTGTGCAGGATGTCTTTTTATTTTTTATTTTTGCAGGGGTGCCTTTGGAAACAGATATCTGAACTAGTTATGAGGTAACGTCTTGCATAAAGATAGGGCAATGAATTGAGGTAACCTCACAGACAGGGCACAGTGAGACCAGGAGGGCTGAGTTTAGGCCCACTTCCCTAAACTGGTTCCTGGAAAGAGTTCACCGTCAGTGGGAGGGCCGCAGTCTGAGCGGGTGCTGAGTGGTAGGTGGGAGGGTCTGCCCAGCAGGCAGGCTTTCCCATTTCTATGAAGGAGGATTTAGGGCTGAGGAACCTGGGAAGCTGAGTAGGGGAGGGGATGTCCCTGCGTGGAGGATTGAACAGATTATGAACACATTTTATGGGATTGTATGTTCGTGCCCTCCTGCACGAGTGGGAGAGAAAGAACCTCTCCATCCCAGGGACCTGGACTTGTGCTGGGAATTTCCTTAGGGGAGTTACTGTTGGGGGCCAGGTGGGGGGGCCACCAGCTGCTTTGAGCTTCCCTGACCTCACTGAAACAAGATCCCCCCCCCCCAGAGTTTGCCCCATCTCTGCTTTCCTCTCCACTAAACCAATTAAGGCAGGAGGTTAATGACCAAAAAAACCTTGGGGATTTGGTCAGGGAGGAAAACAAAGGGCAGAATGTTCAGCGGGGAAAGGGACAGGCTGAGGATGGAGTGGGCAAGGTGGCACCCTCCTGGACCCACGTTTCCCCAGTGGAGTCCCTCACGCAGCAGGGATGCATCCATCCTCAGGGTGTCTTAGCCCCCCCCCCCCCACACACACACCCTGAAGGTCACACTGACTCCAGACATCCTCCAAGGCAGAAGAGAGCACATGTGAGCCTGGCACTTGGAGGGCAAGGTATGTGTGGAGAACTCAGGGTACCCACAGGGACAGTTGTCTGCAGAGTTGAGGTGCGGAGGAGCTGTGGGGCAAGGAAACCACTCATGCTCCTGAGGCTGAGGCCTCCTTTGTTCAGGCTGATGCCATCCTGTCTGAGCTGCTGTGCATGGGCCCTGCTCAGCTCCCCTTCCCTGGTACTCATCCAATGAGGGTAGAGACCCAACTTAAGCCATTTCCTCTCCTCTGCTCTGTGACAGATGGTATAGAGGGTGTGTATTGGTCCCCTTTGGGACTCTGAGGATGTCTGTCTCTCTCTTATCTGTATGTCTCTACTTCTGTATCTCCCTCCTTCCCACCGCTAACCTCCTCTACTCTCCCAACTCCTGTTTTCACGCTACCGAGCACCTTGTCGAGTTGTTGGACTGGCTGTGAGCATCAGATACTTATGTATATTTTGTGTATGTGTGCATGCATGAGTGCAAGGCAGGAAGCGAGGTCCCTGTGGAGGCCTGAGGTTAAGAGTGTGGTAGAAAGTACATATTGTGAAAACCATTTTCCTGTGTACTCTGGGCAATCTTGAGTACCCATTCTTGGCTGTCTACATAGCAGAGCCCAAAGTTGAGACACACACCTAATACCTGAACCCTGGAAAGGGAGAGAGACACGGAAGGCTCTCAACAAGCAGGCTAACCACAGTTTATTCCCCTGTCCCTGTTGCTGTACTCCTCACAGGCTGCCTCAGTCCATCTGGCTCACTTCAGCCTCCCTCCCATGCTTTGTGATGTTTCCACTTTGCTTTTTATTCTTATTGTGTTTCATTTATATATTAAGACTATGCATGTGCCACAGCACACACATGAAGGTTAGAGAACAACTTGTGGGAACAAGATCTGTCCCCTCCACCATGTGAGTCCCAGGGATTGAACTCAGGTTGTCAGGTTTGGTGTCCTGTAACTCAGTAGCTGAGACTGGCCCTCCACTCCAGTCTCCACCTCATAAGTACTGTTACTACATGTTCACCCACCACACCTGGTCTGTTTTCTCTTCCTTCCTCCCTCCCTTCCTTTTTCTATTTTCTTAATATCTCTTGTTGGAAATACATCTGGATGTCTAGCCTCTGCCTTTCTTGCTGAATGTGCAGCTAGTTTTCTCCCATAGGCTGGAATGCACTTCATGTGTTAATTTCTTTAGAACAGTTTTTCAGTATTTATGTTTTGTGTGTTTGTATGTGGGAGTGTGTGTGTGTGTGTGTGTGTGTGTGTGTGTGTGTGTGTGTGTGTGTGCCACAGCACACATTCCGGAAGCCAAGAATGACTTGAGGAAGTTCTAGGGGTTAAACTCAGCTCCTGAGACTTGGTGGTAAGTTCCTCTACTTGTGAGCCTTCTTGCCTGTCCTCAACTTATTTCAGCTAATGAAAATATATTGGGTAAAGTTCTGCATGCTGTGTAAAAGTGATCTCAGACTGGATCCCTGCTCTCATGGAAGCATAGGAACTGGCTTCTATGGCCAAAAAGGGCAAGTGTGAGGGCAAAACCATCTTTGGGGCTTGAAGAGCCACCAGAATTGGCAGGAAGAGCAGGTCACTGGCCCTCTTGACTCTGCCTAATCTCCAAGCCCTTCGCAGCCCCCATGCTTGGACCTGAACAGACATTTCTCTTCCCCACTGCCAGATCTCCTGTTCTATCTGACTCCCCCAGGAAGAGCAACTCCAACAGGCTGGGGTGGAGCCGGTGTCCCCCAGGACAGCTGGCTAACAAGGTCCCTCTGGGACTCCAGTCTGGGCCCCTGGCATTCAGGAGACAGTGATACTGGAGCTGTGACAGTTGGTCCTTAGGTTCCCCACCCAGTGGCGCCAGCTCTGGTTTCGGGCTGGGTGAGGGAGGGGATTAGTTGCCCTCCTGGGACAGAGAAGCAGTAAACACGGCTCCCTGTGGAGGACTTTTCCTCCCTGGGGTGGATGCAGCGCTAGGTTAGATGTGAGGAGGGGTTTTGGCCAGGGTGACTTGCAGAATGCAAAGTATAGTGTAGAATATTATGTAGGAGGTCAGAGCGGGAGTGGAAGGTATGTGAAGAGTCTGACCCTTATCCTCCTTTGCAGAGGGCAGGCAGCCCAGAGCCTGGGTTCTCTGACTCTCTTCTGCCTCCTGTACTGTTGTTTCCTTCAGAAAAGGGCGTGAGGAAGGACCTCCCATTTCCTGAAGGTGCTCTTCTTAGAGTCTTCAGTCATTATGTTTAATCTTCTATTATTATTTTATTACATGTATTTAATGTATGCATGTACTGTATTTATCCTGAATGTGGAAGCCAGAGTTGCTCTCCACTGTGAAGGTCCTAGCCTTAGGCTTGGGTGGCAACAGAACTCTTTATCTGTTGGGCCATCTCACCTGACCTTTGATATCTTCATAATTCCATGGAGCTGTAATTTCTATCTGTGCTTGACATAAAGAGATCTGTGGCTCAGAGATGTTAAGTAACTTTACCAGGTCACACAGCGGGTAACTGGAAATTCCACTGTTCAAAATTAAAGTTGTCTTACTCCAGCCCTGGGCCCCCAGAGGTGGACAATGGCATTCAGTGCTTGGAGACCTCAGAGGGAGTGACATTTAAAGCTGGAGCAGTTTGGGGTGGCTTCCTGGCTGAGGTGGGTTTATTGGAATCACTGAAGAGGAAGGAGTAAGGGGAGCATTTCTGGAGGTTGTGTAGGACGTGTCCAGTGAGGCTTGCTACTTTTCACCCATTCTGAGAACCACTGAGTATGTGTGGCCACCAGGTGGCACTGCAGGACAGTCTCCTCTGCCTACCCTGGTCAGGAGGGCCAGGGCCCAGGTGCTGCCTCCGTGTGGGACCACTGCTGTGTGCTCTGCCCTGCACACAGACTTGGTTTGACGCCCTCCTTTTTTGGCAGAACATCCAACACGTGGAAAACAGGGGATTTTGATAGGAGTCTATTCCAGATCCAGGTGGCAGAGATCCTCCAACAGCTTGTTCTGCCTTCCTGAGTTCAGCCGACTGGGTCTGTAGGGAAAGATAACTAGGCTTGAAATCTTTCATCCAGTGAGCATCAGGTGAACATTTATTGTGCTGCACATTGTTCTAGGCAGTGGGCAGACACCAGAGGACAAGAAGGGTGAAACCTGCCCTGGGTTGAAGTTCGTGTTCTACAGGGTGTTGGGTAGGTGGCAGAGTATGAATTAGTACATGGTGTCCTTCTGGCAGTGGCTGTCACTATCAAGAAAAATAAAGCAGGAGATAGAGAC